GATCCTCACACTCACACACCAGACTCTCCTTTGGCAGCAAGTCATCCCTCCCTGCCACGCCTCCGTGGCATGCACTCCCACCTCCTTGTCTCTGCTCTTCCCAGTTCTCTGCCTCCCCTCCCGCCCTCGCCTGCCCCGCCCTGCCTTCCTTGCATCGAGGGGCGGCAGCGCGCCGCTCCTCACTTCTCCTCTTTTCCACCGATGACTGCTCCCCTGCAGACTCTCCATATGGACGTGTGGGGCCCAGCCCGCGTCCGTGGACAGGACCACGAGCGACTACTCACGTTAAACCATGGTCGCAAGGGGAAGATACCTGGTGTCTTGATTTCTTGGATCCGCGCTGTCCGTCTCCAGCTCCGCGAGCGGTTCCGCCAGGACCTTCCTGTCCTGCGTCTACACTCTGACAGAGGTGGTGAGTTCTCCTCCGACCTCTTGCGGGACTTTTGTCGTGGGGAGGGCATCCTCCAGTCGTTCACGCTTCCGGCCTCCCCGCAGCAGAATGGGATTGCTGAGCGCCGCATTGGCTTAGTCGTGGAGGTCGCTCGTACCTCCATGATCCATGCAGCTGCTCCCCATTTTCTGTGGCCGTTTGCAGTCCGGTACGCTGCGCATTAGGTCAACCTCTGGCCCCGTGTCTCCTTTCCGTACACCTCGCCTACACTGCATTGGGCTGGAGAGGTTGGCAATGCATCGGCATTACGGGTCTGAGGCTCTCGTGCCTTTGTCCGCGATACCTCTGCGGACAAGCTCTCCTCCCGCGCCATTCCCTGTGTCTTCCTTGGCTTTCCCACTGACGCGCCTGGCTGGCAGTTTTACCACCCCGCCATGCGCCTTGTCCTGTCCTCTCATGACGTCACGTTTGAAAAGCCGGTTCCCTTTTACCGTCTCTTCCCCTACCGCACTGCCCCTCTCCCCCTCTCCCCCCCCCCCCCCCACCCCCGCCGCTCTTCCTCGCTCCAGGTCCCCCTCCGGTAGACCCCCTCCCCCCTCAGGGTCCTGCTCCTTCAGGTGTGTCTCAGGTAGACCCACTCCCCTTGGCTGAGCCTTTCTAGATCACTTCCGACACCTCTGGCCCATCTGAGGAGGGTGACGTTGCTGCTGACGACGCGGCGACCCCCCGCCGCTCACCACACTTGGAGACCCCTCCAGATGTTCCACCTCGGCCGTCTTCGCCGCCTCTGCAGCCGGTTGCTGTCGACTCGGGTGCTTCTGGGGGTGGTGCTGCTAGGGGTGCTGCGTCTGGGGGTGCTGAGCCTGAGGGTGCGGAGCCTGGGGGTGCTGAGCCTGAGGGTGCGGAGCCTGGGGGTGCTGAGCCTGAGGGTGCGGAGCCTGGGGGTGCTGAGCCTAAAGGTGCCGAGCCAGAGGGTACTGAGCCTAGGGGTACTGCGTTTGCTAGAGGTCCTACGGGTGCCTCGGCACAGCGGTCTCGCCGGCCGGAGCCTCTCTCCCCTCAGCAGCTGCGCAAATGGTTTGCTCGGCGAACCCGCCTTCGGAGTGGCACTGATGGAGCTGGAGGCCTTGCCGCTGGAGGCACTGACGCTGGAGGCGCTTGAGCTGGAGGCGCTGGAGCTGGCGGCCCTGGACCTGGAGGCCCTAGAGCTGGATACGCTGGAGCTGGAGGCGCTGCAGCCTGAGGCGCGGGAGCTGGAGGCACTAGAGCTGGAGACCCTGGAGTTGGAGGCGCTGGTGCTCGAGGCCCTGGAGCTGGAGGTACTGGTGCTGGAGGCACTGGAGCTGCTGGTGCTGGAGGCACTGTGCAGCAGCGACCGTTTTTCTTGCCGCCGCCGCAGCCATCACTCCTTCCGCCTGCCTCGGCACTCCGTCAGGTTCTTAGACTTCCTTCGTCTACTGCCCTTCCTCCTCCCTCGCACTGTCCTCCACCTGACCTGTCACAGGTGCCGTTACAGCCAGAATCCCCGCTGCCTGCCCCCCCTCTTACACTGAGCAGCCAGCCTCCCTTACAGAGCGTCGTGAGCCTACATAGCGTCCTGTCACGCCTTCTCGCGCTAGTCGTCGTGTCCCTCGTCCTCGTCCTCCCCCTGTGCCAGGTACTCACACTGTGGAACTTCGTCCTTCCTCTATTCCACTGCGAGTTTCCCTGCCGACTCCTCCGGCGTCCTCTCTTCCTGACGTTCCGGACCCTGAGTCTGACTTGGTTGCTTAGCTGAGTCCAGCCCTACTGTTACACGTCTCCTAGCCACTGTTGTCACTGACCCTTCGTTTGAGTCCACTGCTGTGTCTGCCTTAGTTGCTGAGCTTGTTGACTTTGCTGCTGCGTGTCGTCTCGACTACGCCACTAGTCTTGTTGCTGAGTCTGAGTTTGTCTGTCCTCTGTCCGTCGGGGGTGAGTGTGCTCTTGGTTCGTAGAGATGGACGCAGAGATGGCATCCTGGAAGTTCACAGGCACTTACGTCGATGCAGTTCCCCCTCCTGGGGCGAACATCATCGATGGCATGTGGATTTTTGGGGTGAAGTGGCCGTCGGGTTCTCCGTCTGTCTTCAAGGCTCGTTACGTTGCACAAGGCTTTAGTCAGTGACAAGGGGTTGACTTCTTCCATACCTTCTCCCCTACCCCGAAGATGACCACTCTTCGGGTGTTGCTGCACGTTGCCGGGCAGCCTGCACGAGGAGATCTGGCTGCGTCGTCCTCGTGGCTTCACTGGGTCGTTTCCTGAGGGTACCCAGTGGAGCCTCCGACGGCCAGTCTACGGTCTCTACCAGGCCTCATGAGTGGCACGACACACTGAGGACGACACTTGCGGCCCTTGGGTTTGCTCCTTCTACTGCTAACTTGTCGTTGTTTCTATGCACAGACACTTCGCTGCCGTTGTTCTACATCCTCGTGTACGTCGACGACTTGGTTTTTGCCATTTCTGAAACTGAGGCACTGGCCCTTGTGAAGTCGGAGCTGCAAAAGAGACACACCTGCACAGACCTGGGTGAGCTGCGCAGTTATCTGGCTTGCAGATTATTAGGGACAGAGCACGGCGCATCATCACCCTGAATCGGTCACACATGGTGCACCAGGTCCTTCAACGCTTCGGCTTCCAGTTCTCCTCACCACAGTCCACACATCTGCCTATCGGACATTTGCTCACAGCTCCACCTTTGGACGAGTCCGTAGAGCCGAGTGGCCCGTATCCAGAGCTTGTGGGCTGCCTCATATACCTGATGACCTGCACTCAACCTGACCTTGCGTACCCTCTTAGCATCTTGGCATGCTACGTTGCGCCCGGGAGACACCGACCAGAGCACTGGGAGGTTGCTAAGAGGGTGTTGCGCTACTTGTGCAGTACATCGGGCATGAGGCTCGTGCTTGGAGGACGGGGTCCAGTTGTCCTCACTGGACACTCACATGCGTCTTGGGCTGACGACCTGTCTACGCAGCGGTAATCACAGGAGTTACACTTTTAGCCTTGGCTCCGACTCTGTTTCTTGGCGGTCTACACGCTCGTCTTCTGTTCTCAGCTCCACTTGTGAGGCTGAGATCTACGCCACAACCATGGCTGCACAGGAGTTACGCTGGCTCACCTACCTGCTGACCGACTTGGGAGAGCGGCCTCGTTCTCCTCCAGTTCTGTACGTAGACAACAAGGCCATGATTGCCTTGTGTCAGGAGCATAGATTAGAGCACAAAACGAACCACATCCCTTTGCGTTACTTCCTTGCTCGAGAGTTGCAGCAACGTGGTCAGCTTCGTCTTGCTTACGTGGCCACACGGGCCAACACTGCTGATATATTCACCAAGGCGCTTCAGCCTAGTGATCTTCAGCGTTTCTGTGCTGCTTTAGGCCTTGTGCCTGCATTGTCTCACTTGCTCACTGCGTGACTTTGCTTGTAGTGTGGTCTATTTATGTATATATATATACATATATATGTATATATATATATATATACCCGCATGCTTACACTTGCTAGGTTATGATTATTGTACTGTTTGTTCTCTTTTATATAACTCTGCATGAGAACTGATCTTGTGGCCAATTGCTTGTGCTCGGACTGTGTGGTGACTTTGTGATCCACCTTGAGCTTGCTTTGCTTCTCTTGACTGGTCTTGTGACCGCTTGTTCTCCCCCACTTTGCCTATGGGGGTGTGTCAAACTAAATATCATAATGCTTATGTTTTGTAGGCTGTAGTGGGGTAGCCCATAAGGGGTACAACCCAATTAGGGTTAGTACTTGTACTCAGTTTGATCTCAATGTAGTCATTCCCGTTCTGTATTCTGACATCACGCAAGTGCGAGGGTGGGTGCATGCTCTGTTTGTTGTGCACCGTCTGTCCTTGCACATTACCAGCGAGGGGGTGGAGGGGGGGGGGGGGGGGGGGGGGGGGGGGGGGGGGGTTAGAATCAAGAGACAGGAATGATTGAACTAGCAGCAGGATGGGTACAAGTAGGAAACCCTAATTTGGGTTGTACCCCATATGGGCTACCCCACTACAGCCTACACAACAAGCAGCATATAGTTTGACACACCCCCATAGGCAAAGTGGGGGAGAACAGAGGGTCACAAGACCAGTCAAGAGACGCAAAACAAGCTCAGGGTGGATCACAATGTCACCACACTCTCTGAGCACAAGCAAAGGGCCACAAGGCTAGTTCACATGCAGAGATATATATGCAGCAATAACAGTACAGTGATGACTACCTAGCAGGAGCAAGCAGGCAGGCATATATATATAGAGATCACAGTACACACAGAGTCTACAGCAAGTGTGGAAACGTAGGCACAAGGCCTAACAGAGTACAAAAGCGCTGATGATCACCAGACGGAAGTGCCTTGGTGAATATATCAGCAGTGTTGGCCCGAGTGGCCACGTGACGAAGACGAAGCTGACCTCGCTGCTGCAACTCTCGAGCCAGGAAGTAACGCAGAGCGATGTGCTTCGTTCTGTGCTCCAGTCTGTGCTCCTCACACAAGGCAATGGCCGCCTTGTTGTCAACGTACAGAACTGGAGGAGAACGAGGCCGCTCTCCCAAGTCGGTCAGCAGGTAGGTGAGTCAGCGTAACTCCTGTGCAGCCATGGCTATGGCGTAGATCTCAGCCTCACAAGTGGAGCTGAGAACAAAAGACGAGCGAGTAGAACGCCAAGAAACTGAACCAGAGCCAAGGCTGAAGGTGTAACCCTGTGACGACCGCTGAGTAGTCTGGTCGTCAACCCAAGAAGCGTCTGAGTGCCCAGTGAGGACAACTGGGCTCGTCCCTCCAAGCACTAGCCCCATGCCTGATGTACTGCACAAGTAGCGCAGTACCCTCTTAGCAGCAGCCATGTGCTCAGGTCGGTGCCGACCAGGAGCCACGTAGCGAGCAAGAAGATCAAGAGGGTACGCGAGGTCAGGACGAGTGCAAGTCATCAGGTACATGAGGCAGCCAACTAACTCTGGGTAAGGACCACTCGGCTCTACGGACTCGTCCGAAGGTGGAGCTGAGAGCGTGTGACCTGTAGCCAGAGGAGTGGCCTGTGCCGAGGACCAGGTGAAGCCGAAGCGCTGAAGGACCTGCTGCACCATGTGTGACTGAGTCAGGGTGATCTGCAAGCCAAGGTAGCTGCGCAGCTCACCCAGGTCTGTGCACGTGTGTCTCTTCTGCAGCTCCGACTTCACCTGAGCGAGAGCCTCAGTGTCAGCAATGGCAAAGACCAAGTCGTCGACGTACACGAGGATGTAGAACGGCAGCAGCGAAGTGTCGGTGCGCAGGAACAGTGACGGGTCAGCAGTCGAAGGAGCAAACCCAAGAGCCGCAAGTGTAGTCCTCAGTGTGTCGTGCCACTCACGAGGCGCCTGGCGGAGACCGTAGACTGGCCGCCGGAGGCTCCACTGGGTACCAGGAGGGAACGACCCAGTGAAGCCAGGTGGGCGGCGCAGCCAGATCTCCTCGTGCAGGCTGCCCTGTAAGAAGGCTGTGCTGAAGTCAAGAGAGTGAAGCTCGTAGTCACGCTGAGCGGCAACGTGCAGCAGCACCCGAAGAGTGGTCATCTTCGGGGTAGGGGAGAAGGTCTGGAAGAAGTCAACTCCCTCACGCTGACTGAAGCCTCTAGCAACGTAACGAGCCTTGAAGACAGGCAGAGAACCTGGCGGCCGCTTCACCTTGAAAATCCACATGCCATCAACGATGTTCGCCCCAGGAGGGGGAACCTCATCGATGTAAGTGCCTGTGGACTTCCAGGATGCCATCTCTGCATCCATGGCTGTCTGCCACTGAGAGGAGTACTCACCCGCGATCGCCTCAGCGTAAGAGCGCGGGGTGGGGATGTCTGGTGCATCCGGGTCTCCCTCAGGGGCAAGCAGCATGGCCACGAGATGAGGCGCAGCAGCCGCAAGACACTCAAGGTCCTCGTGCCTGTCCTCAAGGACGTCCGTGCTAAGAGCACACTCACCCCCGAAGGACGGAGGACAGACAGACTCAGACTGAGCAACAAGACTGGCAGCGAAGTCTAGACGACAGGCAGCAGCAAAGTCAACAAGCTCAGCGACCAGAGCAGACGCAGCAGTAGACTCAAACGACGGGTCAGTGACAACAGTGGCTAGCAGACGCGTGACAGTAGGGTGCTCAGCACGAAACCGGTCAGACTCAGGGTCCGGAACGTCAGGCAGAGAGGACGCAGGAGGAGACGGCAGAGGAATAGGCTGCGGAGCAGAGGAAGGACGACGGACTACGAGGTGTGTGCTGGGGACAGCCGGCTGACGCGAACGAGGAACACGACGACCAGTACGACCAGGACGAACAGGCGAGACAGGACGCGACGCAGGCTCACGACGCTCAGCAGGACTACCTACTGTATCTGCTCAGTGTAAGGAGAAGGAGCAGGCAGCGGTGAGCCAGGCTGTAACGGAAGACCAGTAGACGACAGGAGAGTAAGAACCTGACGAAGAAACGAGTCAGGCGGCGGCAGAGACGACAGAGACGGCGGAGCGAAGAACAGTCGTGTCGGCGCAGCTGCACCAGTACCGGCAGCTCCAGCAGCTCCAGCAGCTCCAGCCCCAGAACCAACACCTCCAGTCCCAGGGTCTCCAACCTCAGTGTCTCCAGCAGCAGCACCCCCAGAACCAGCACCTCCAGTCCCAGGGTCTCCAGCTTCAGTGTCTCCAGCAGCAGCACCTCCAGACGCAGCACCCCCAGCCCCAACAGCTCCAGTACCTCCAGTACGAGCACCTCCGGGACCAGCGACTCCAGCACCTCCAGTAGACAAAGGACCAGCACCACTCCTAGCTCCAGGGACGTCAGCAGAAGTACCTCCAGCAGCAGAGCCCCGGGCTCCAGCAGCGCGACCCTGACGGCGACCGTACTAGTCGTGCAGCTGCTGTGAGGTGAGAGGCACACGTGGACGAAGGCGGCTACTCCAAGGAGACCGCACAACAGCAGACTCAGAACCCTCAGCGTCAGCACCTCGAACAGCTCCAGAACCTCCAGTGCCAGCACCCTCAGCGCCAGCACCTCCAGCAGCTCCAGAACCTCCAGCGCCAGCACCCTCAGCAGCTCCAGAACCTCCAAATCCAGCGCCAGAACCTCCAGCGTCCGCATCCTCGGCAGCTCCAGAACCTCCAGCTCCAGCAGCGCGGCCCTGACGGCCAAGGTACCACTCAACCAGCTGCAGGGAGGAGAGGGGGAGTCGACGACGAGAGTGCAGCGGCGAGGCACCAGCGGAGCGACTACGGAGACGGCCGCTCGAGGGTGACTGCTCACCAGACGCCTCATCACCCCTAGGGGCAGCACCCCCAGACCCCTCACACTCAGGCTCAGCACCTCCAGGCTCCACACCCTCAAGCTCCGCACCCCCAGGCTCAGCACCCCCAGGCTCAGCACCCCCAGGCTCCGCAACCCCAGGCTCAGCACCCCCAGAAGTAGCACCCCGAGCAGGACCACCCTCAGCAGGACCTGAGTCACCAGTGACCTCAACCGGCGCAGTCAAGGGAGGAGGGTCTACCTGAGAAACACCTGAAGGGGCAGGACCTGGCGTGGGGAGAGGGTCTACCTGGGGAGCACCTGGAGCGAGGAAGAGCGGCGGGGGGGGGGAGAGGGGCAGTGCGGTAGGGGAAGAGACAGTAAAAGGGAACCGACTCGTCGAACGTGACGTCCTGAGACGCAAAGACACGGCGCGAGGTGGGGTGGTAAAACTACCAACCGGGCGCGTCAGGGACAAAGCCAAGGAAGACACATGGAACAGCGCGGGCGGAGAGCTTGTCCGCGGTGGTATCGCGGACAAAGGCACGAGCACCCCAGACCCGGAAACGTGACGCATCGCCAACCTTCCCCGTCCACAGCAGTGTGGGCGAGGTCTCCGGCAAGGAGACACGGGGCCAGAGGTTGAGCTGATGCGCGGCGTACCGGACCGCAAACGGCCACAGGAAATGGGGGGCAGCCGCATGGATCATGGAGGTACGAGCGACCTCCATGACTAAGCCAATGCGGCGCTCAGCAACCCCATTCTGCTGCGGAGAGGCCGGAAGCGTGTACGTCTGGCGGATGCCGTGCTCCGCACAGTAGGCTGCCAAGAGGTTTGAGGTGAACTCACCAACTCTGTCAGAGTGCAGACGCAGGACAGGAAAGTCATGCTCGAACCGCTTGCGGAGCTGGAGACGAACAGCGCGGATCCAAGTTATCAAAACATCAGGGACCTCCCCCTTGCTCTGCAAGGGGAAGACCGTGGTGTAGCGCGTGTAGTCGTCGACAACCAGCAGGAAGTACCGCTCGTGGCCCTGTCCACGGACGCGGGCTGGGCCCCACACGTCCAGGTGGAGCGTCTGCAGAGGAGCCTCTGTGGGAGGGAACGAGGAGGAGTGAGGAGCAGCGCGCTGCCGCCCCTCGACGCAAGGAATGCAGGGCGGCGCAGGCGAGGGAGGGAGGGCAGGCAGAGACCTGGGAAGACTAGAGACCAGGGAGCGAGAGTGCATGCGACGAAGGCGAGGCAGGGAGGGGTGACCAAGGCGGTGGTGCCACAGGAGAGTGTCGTGCGACAAAGCGCGACACTCGCAGGGGGCCGCCAGCTGACCTGACGTAGACACCGACGCAGCTACCTGAGGGGACTCAGTGGTCAGTGTGTACAGACTCGAGCCAGGTGCACGTGGCCAAGTGGCGGCCCGTCCTAGCACACGTACAGTGAGTCACTCGCTGACTCGCAGGAGTGAACTGGTCAACCCCCCCATCCTGGAGGTCAGCTCCACTCACCAAGTTCGTAGAGAACGAGGGGAGGTAAAGACCTGACAGCGAGCCAGACGGGGCGGCCGGACACGGCAGAACCGTGGAGTAGTGAGCAAGGACTGGACCCCCGGAGGGGTCTGCCAAGGAGACTGGAACTGGCCGACTGAGCGGCGTGAGTGTGGTGCAGTCGCGAAAGAAGGAGCGGGAAGCTCCTGAGTCAAGGGTGAAGGTGTGCAAGACCGCAGCAGGCGCAGTACCAGAGAGAGCAGACTCACCAGCACCTAGAGCAGCAGCCTCACCAGCACCCAGAGGAGGAGACGCACTAGCACCTAGAGCAGCAGCCGCACCAGCACCTAGAGCAGGAGACGCACGAGCACCTAGAGCAGCAGCCTCACCAGTACCACGAGCAGCAGGTTCTATACCAGGGTCAGGCGGTACGCACAGGTAACAGGCACGGTCAACACTAGTAGGCAATGCATACATGGCAGTGAGAATAGCATCATAGTCAAGAGCAAAGATATCTACCCTCTGTCCAAGCAGCTCCACCCAGGTGGGGAGCTCAGCCTCGTCGCCAAACTCGGTACGCCAGGCGTCGCTCAGACGGGCGAAGCAGCGGGACTGCGTGTGACCCAGCGTCCCGCAAGGCTGACCAGTCCGATCACCTGTGCGAATGACGTACGGGCAGCGAACTGTACGTGTAGACCTGCTACACTGAGCGTACCACTCGTGGAGCTGCTGCGACGTACGTGGCTCGCGTGGACGCCGCTGCAGCTGCAGCTGACCACTGTCAGACGCTCCCAACTGACCATCTCCAGGGCGACAGCTACGACGGCTACCACGACAACCCCAACTAGCGTACCACTCACTAAGCTGCTGGGGCGTGAGAGACTCGCGTGAACGTCGCTGGAGCTGCATCTGGCCACCTGCCAGTAGCAGTAGCAGCAGTAGTAGTAGCAGCAGCAGCAGCCTAGCAGTAGTAACAGAAGGAGCAGCAGTAGCAGCGCTGACAGGGCAGGCGTGGCAGGCAGGCAGGAAGGCAGGCGTGGCAGGCAGGCAGACAGGCAGGCAGGCAGGCAGGCAGGCAGGCCGGCAGGCAGGCAGGCAGGCCGGCAGGCAGGCAGGCAGGCAGGCCGACAGGCAGGCCGGCAGGCAGGCAGGCAGGCCGTCAGGCAGGCAGGCAGGTAGGCCTGCAGGAAGGCAGGCAGGTAGGCAGGCAGTCAGGCAGGCCGGCGGGCCGGCAGGCAGGTAGGCATGCAGGCAGGCCGGCAGGCAGGCAGGCAGGCCAGCAGGCAGGCAGGCAGGCAGGCAGGTGCTCACCAGGGGCGGGAAGGGCAGGCGCCCGCCGGGCGAGCAGGGTCGGGTAGGCGCACGACGGCAGGGACGGCGGGGACGGCTGCAGAGTAGGGCAGCGTCGGCGGCAGTTGCAGCGTGAGGCCGCGTCAGTGGCAGGTCGGGGCCGCGGCAGCTGCAGGGCGGGGCCGCGTCAGCGGCAGGTCGGGGCCGTGGCAGCTGCAGGGTAAGGCCGCATCAGCAGTAAGTCCGGGCCGAGGCAGCTGCAGGGCGGGGCCGCGGCAGCGGCAGGTCGGGGCCGAGGCAGCTGCAGGGCGGGGCCGCGAAAGCAGCAGATCGGGGCCGCCGCGGCCTGGCGGGGCTGCGCGAGCGGTGCGCGGGGCAGTAGCGGGCCGCGCGCGGGCCGCACGAGCTCGGGGCGTGCTGCGCAAGGCAGCAGCTTGCTGCGCGCGGCTCGGGGCGGGCTGCGCGGGCCGCGCGCAGGCTGCAGGAGGCAGCAGCAAGCTGCGCGCGGCTCGGGGCGGGCTGCGTGGGCCGCGCGCGGGCTGCGCGCGGCTCGGGACGGGCTGCGCGGGCTCGGTACGGGCTGCGCGCAGCAGCAGCGGGCTGCGCGCGGCTCGGAGGGGGCTGCGCGGGCTCGGTACGGGCTGCGCGTGGCAGCAGCGGGCCGCGCGCGGCTCGGGACGGGCTGCGCGGGCTCGGCGCGGGCTGCGCGCGGCTCGGAGCGGGCTGCGTGAGCTCGGTGCGGGCTGCGCGCGGCACGGGACGGGCTGCGCGGGCTCTTTGCGGGCTGCGTAGGGCGACGTGCGTGCAGGGAGGTGCGCGCGGGCTAGCAGCAGACAGTAGGCAGTAGGCAGCAAGTAGCAGACAGTGTGCGTGACAGTCACAGTCACAGGCTCATTCGTGGGGTAGCGGTAGGTGGGCCCGAAAAAAACGGTCCTACGGACCTACTGCTCTGAAACCATGTTAGAATCTAGAGACAGGAATGATTGAACTAGAAGCAGGATGGGTACAAGTAGGAAACCCTAATTTGGGTTGTACCCCATATGGGCTACCCCACATTAGCCTACACAACAAGCAGCATATAGTTTGACAAGGGAGGGGGGGGGGGGGGGGGGGGGGACAGCCTGGCGGCGACCCCGACAACAGCTACCAGACAGATGCGTGGCAGCACCTGAGTCAGATGCAGAGTGCGCTAGCACAAAGAATCCAAAGTTTACCCCCGTGCTATTACGCAAAATTAATTATGCGTGCATGTACAAACAGCATATCGCTGCTCCTATGGCCAACAGTGCTATTTTGGTGGTTTCGGATGAAACCATACGCGATTGCTGCTAGAGCAGACGAAATGATATCAGTTTCCTGAAAATACATATCACGATATAAGACTTGTGATGACTATGAGCCATAAACTTAAGTCTGCCAGAGCAAATGAACTATACAAACTGTGCCTGAAACCTAGACCTACATACTAAAATAGTCTCATAACAAGAGCCCTGACAGGCAGATGCTGCTTCTACCTTCTGATATGAGCTCTGTGGGTGGTTGTGCTCCTTTCATGTGCTTGCGAAGCCATGCATGATAGCTTAAGTGGTGCTAGACATCCATGTGATTGAATGAGGAGAGTAGAAGGCGATGCATGTGCTAGACATTTGCAGTGAAGCTATCAAAACAAATGCTCACTGCTTCAAGTGCCGAAGAAAGCAAGAACGGAATGTCGTAATTGTAATATAAGATTCGCAGGTACTGTATGTAGTCGTTTCTAGATGTAAATGGAGCTTGCATGACCAATTGGTGCAATTTTACATTATCTTCTCTGGCTTATAAAAGCACAAGTGAATAGACTCATTCTCATGGAGAACAAATGGCGAGCACAGATATTTTAGGTTGGGTTAAATTAAACGTTGTTGTCAATAGACGTACTATAGCGGGTACGAGTTCTTTTTCCTTCCATCTCGAGTTTATCCTCACTGATAGTTTCTGAGCCGATAGATCCCAATTCCCGATAATGTCGCCGCCACCAGAGAGTCACGCACCAAACCATGAGTTCTTGGCGGTCTCTTCCCGCCATTTCGAGGCACGTGATCCCCGAACCAGGCGAGTTTACATCGTTGGCGTCTGTCTACCCTGTCGCAAATGCATTTCGCATTACGTTTAGGGTCCTTGCGAGCCCCTATTGGCGCCTTCGTAGACGCAGATTCTCGCGCGCTGCGGGGTCAGGTATGGCAAAGCTTTCGCGTCGCAACGCCATACGGCAAAATCGCTTAGCCAGCAGGTTAGGTCACGAGTGGACCATCCGCACCGTCCGGATAAGGCAACGCACCAGACTGCACCGCTCTGTGACGTACCCAGAAGCCAAGACCAGCGGCCTCGGAAATAGCTTTCTTCCCTTCCGCGTTCCCGTGCCTGCCTGCTGTGATTTCCCAGCGCGGACCGCTTAGCAAACCCTTCCTGCATAATCGCGTAACAAGCAGGTTTGGTTCGAACCGACGAGCCTCACCGACTGGACATTGCAATCAACCGGATTGAACCCATTTGCCGCATCCCCGGAGGCCTCGGCCAGAGGCTTGGCACTGCCTCGGAAATATCTTCGTTCCCAAGCCATACCGCACACCGACAGCGCACCGACTCGTTCTGCCCTTCCCTGCCCGCTGCGTGAGTTCCCAGTGCGTCGCTTCTCCTCCACCCCGCCTTGTCGCAGCAACCCTCTCGCTCTCCCCTTGTCGCCTTCAAATCCGCACTCCCTCTACTCACCCTCATTCGTCGCTCTAAGTTTCAACTCTCCAGCTGATCTTAATCGCCAGTTTCACTCTCCCTTCTTAGTTGCTCTCCAGCCAGCTCTTGCACTTTCGAGTTCCTAGAGCTGCAGCAATACTATTCTAGCCGGATCTTTAAAACCTAAGCTTTTGGCTCTTTCGAAATTCTCTCACCGGTACGAGTTTCAACTCTCGGTTTCTCTCTCAACCTTCAGCAGGCCCTCAGCCATTCGACAGGCCGCTCAGTATCCTCGAGCGTTCTTCCTCGGATGGCCGACGCGTCCGTGCGTGCATGCACCTCGTCGTCCGCTGAGTACCCGTCGTTCGCGGAAGCGCTGCGCGCCTGTACGTGGCTTATGTACAGTGCTGACGTCAGACCCACCGCACTGCCAGCCTCCCTTGTGCTGCTGCTGCACTCGCTGCTGTTGTTGCTGCAGCTGCACTTGCTGCTCGCGTCACTGCTGCTGCCGCTGCTGAGAGTGGTGCTGCCCTGGTGGATTCCCAAGGCAGGCAGCACAGGAGCGCATGTGAAGGTGGGTGGTGTGGAGGGGAAGGCATGGAATGCACGTGGGGGTGCTGTAGCCCACCAGAAGCCCACAGCAAGCAGCATGAGGCAGCAGCAGGAGAAAGAGCACGCTGTGCAGTGCAGAGGGAGGAGAAACGCAGGCAGCACCACCAAGGCAGCAGCAAGGCCTCTTTGGAGGGCTTGAAGCTGCTGGTGTTGCTGAGGCAAGCACAGGGTGATATTTAACTGTGGAAGCACAGAAGAGAAACGTCTCCAGTAGCTACTACGGTAGAGTCTGTGTGTCTTAGATTGCTAACTCTGTCCACTCTTGTACGCATGTATATTGGCTGTCAAATTTGTAGGAAAATGTACAATCTACCTTCCAGTGGGCGCTAACCCGTTACAGACAATTTCTTGTGATTTCATTACTGTGTGCTTACGGTAGTTCAACGGCATAAGGCGCCGCCGAAATGCAATTCACACTTTGATTTGTATATCATAAGACTGCCTTTATAGATAACCTTCCATATCCTTGCCTAGCATGTGGCAAATAATTCAAAGAATCCATTCAAGTGAATTCGTACGTACCTCCATCCCAAAACTGTATTTTATCTGGGGTGGGTAGTCTTACAAGTACCGGTATACATGCGCAACCGCTACTAGTGTTGGAAATAAGAAGTCGCTAGAGCGCAGCGGAAGCTCTAGGAATTAACGACGTCCCTACGGCGGGGCAATGGTCACTCAGAGGTAGCTCTCTTGGCTTGTAACTTGGTGCCAGAGCAGCGGCCGAGGGTAGGCCGGACACAAGCTTGGGAATTGTGTAATGTTGTGTCAAAATGAAGAATGGATGATGCATTGATGTTGGTTGGGGTACATATAGCTAACCCTAAGTTTTGTACCCCCTAAGACAAACCTCACTATAGGCTACAACA